TTGGCTCATAGTTTTGGAGGCTTTAGTACATAATTCGTTGGCCTGTTGCTTTGGCACCTGTGGTGAGGCAGCACAGAATGGTGGAGGGATGTGGTGGCACCATCCCTGATGGTTGGGATACAAAAGAGAGAAAGAAGAAGATATTTTGGGCTTGTTAAGTTCAGGACCCAGGCACATATGATCTGGTTGGGCTGCCAGGTACTCCTCCCTCCTCTGCAGCTGCTGCCACCAAGGTGTCCTGCTTCCCCCTGCTCTGTCCTGCCTCAGCTTGGGCTTTAGCCCAGTGGGGGAGGACTGAAGCACTGACCTGCAAGTTGCAGTATTTCATTAGCAATCCAATAGTGTGTATCCATAACACTTTATGAATCTCATTGTAGGAGGCAGGGGCTGTGGGAATAAAGGGGGGTTCATTAAAAAGTATGGGCTTTCTTTTTGAGGTGATGAAAATGTCCTAAAATTGATGGTGGAGATGGTTGTATACATCTGTGAATATACTCAATACCATGGAATTGTATACTTTAAATGGATGTGAATTATATCTCAATAAAGTGTTTTTTAGAAAAAAGTTTGGGTGGTATTAGAGCAATGATAGTAGAGGAATAGGAGGAAAGTCACATTGTAGAAATTTTGTTCTTTCCCATATATCATAACCTATTGCTAAATATCCAACATTTCTTCGCAAGTCTAGTTCCGTGGGGAGCTTTGAAGTATCAGGTGGGCCTGAGCTTGAGTCTATTCTGCCTTTAGTAGCTGAGTGTCCTTGGGCAGGTTGTTTAGCCTCTCTGAGGTGGTTGCCCTTCCTGTAAAATAGGGTTAGTGGTACTGATTTTATGGAGTCTTTAAAAACAGCCAGGTGAACCTCATCCATTTTCTCCATGTGACTATCAATCAGCTAGAGACGCAGCCCTTTTATGTCCTTGCCAGTGGGCCTTAGAGCTGGGTAAGTTAATTCTTCTGTTGGCTGGAATTGCCACTGGGCAAATTCCTATGCCGTGTGTTTCTGAGGAGTATTCAGCCACTAGATAAGGGAGGACCAGGGGCTGGGCAGCACTGGTAGTCTTTAGCTAACTTGATGAACTTGTGAATTCATTTTTCTGCCTTAATACACACAGTTTGAGTGGGTTGGTGGCAAGCTCTTAGAGAACCAACCCCTGTCCCTTCCTCTTTGACCCTGTTTCCCACACTGGGTCATTGCCCCCTTCTTTCACTTTGTCCCTCCACACTTGGGACATGCCATTTTTATTTATTTACATTCGTGCTCAGCCCAAACACTGAGGGCTGGCCAATCCAGGGCAGGGACCTTGGTTTCTTCAACTGTGGGGTGCTAAGTCCTTAAGCACTGGGCCTGGCACTAATATTTGTTGACTGAGAGCCCAGTGGTTTCAAGTCTTTGGTGACGGAAACCAGATCGGAACTGGAAATACTGCCTGAGGTGCCACATGCAAGAGGGAAACAGGTACATTTCTAGAGCAGTGTTCCTGTTCCAGCACTGCCCTTGGTGGTGGTGGTGGGGGATATGCACCCCTGCCCCAGAGCAGGAGAGCTGCTTCTGCCATTTTTTTTCTTTTTCTTTTCTGTGATGCTGGGGATTGACACCATGTGCTTTCTAAGCAAATGCTCTACCACTGAGCTACTACTGAGCTATACACCAAGCTTGAGTATTGGGCCACTTTTCCTGTCTTGTGTTCACTGGTGAACTGTGGCGGACATTATGGGCAGGAAGAGAGTACCCCTGCCACATTGGAAAACTGATCTCATTAGCAGCACTTTTTTGTAGGACCCAATTCTGAGCCTTCAGGGCAGCCAGGATGATGAGGCCATGGGGTGTGGCTAGGAACCTGGAGGCTGACTGGATTCAAATCCTGCCTCTCCATGCGATGGGACTCTGTGCCTCAGCGTTCTAGCCTGGAAATAATACCTGTCTGCATAGGATGGTTTTCATGATCAGCCAGGAATAAAGTAAGCACTAGATGCTTATTGAGTAGATGGTGTTTGTTGGATTTTTAAAAAAAGAGACAAGGGCTAGAGGTATCACTCAATGGTAGAGCCTTGCATACACAAGGCCCAGCACCCAAGAAAAGCTGGGAGGTTGGGAAGGTGGGAGAGAGAATGAATGAATGAATGAGTGAGTGAGACTCTTAAAGTGGTGCTTTGCTGTAATTGTCCCCCTCCCATAACCAGAAGCCCTAAGTAGGACTCTGGGTCAAAACTGTTTTCTGGCATCTAGCTTTCATGATGAGGACAGGTAGCTTTACTAGTGCTCAGGAGCTTCTTTCTTGGTGGAATGAGTGCTCCACCAGATGTGGCTGACCTGGTGTCCGAGCATGTGTCCCTTTTTAATGGCGCAGTTGCTTTAACTGAGCTGTCAGCAGAATACCAGGACATACGCTTTGTGTTGACTTTTCTGCTTTTGGGGGCGGATGAGGAGGTGGTATAGCAGTTTTCCATAGTATAGATTATTACCATGTGTCAGGTAATAGTCTTGTGTTGATGTGATCTTTGCTTTTCTGTTGTTTTTTTTCCATTAAGAAATTTCTGAACACAAGATTTTAGAAAGAGATTTCTAACCTATTTTGTGTTATAAAGTAAGACTAAGATGACTTTTTAATAACATTTTCGAATGAATATGGGTAGCAAGAACACTGGTAAATAGTGCGTATCCGTTTAGCATGATTTCCCCTTGCAGTGTATTATTTTGTCAATTATGTATTTTCCCATTGCTGCATACTTCCTCTTGGGCCTGTCCTGAAGTGTTGGAACCATCCTGAAGTGCCTCTGTTCTGGCCTCTGTGTCTTAAATGTAGCATCCTGGCTAGCCATGGGGATTGGGAGGGGCTTGGGGGGTGGAGCTTACCTTCTAGAAGGTATTCTAGAAGGATACCTCGGAGAAACAGCCCTTAAAATACCTGTTTCCTGTCTGTCTTTGCAGATTAGTTCAAATATCTGCTCTTTCTATTGATGTTTATAATTTTTGATATTGTAAAGATTTTTTATAAACTTTTATTGGCAAATAATATACCTATATAAAAGTGCACAGATCATGCTAGGTGCCAGTAGTTCACGCCTGTAATCCTAGCTACTCAGGAGGTAGAGATCAGGAGGATTGCTGTTTGAAGCCATTTTGTGAGACCCTAGCTGAAAAAAAATCCATCACAAAAAAAAGGACTCAAGTGGTAGAGTGCCTAGCTAGCAAGTGTGAGGCCCTGAGTTCAAACTCCAGTCCCACCCAAAAAAAAGGACACAGATCATAAGTGTGGATATCAGTGAATTTTCACATGTGTAGCAACTGTGTAATTGGTTTAAGAATCAGCATGCTGGACTGGAAGTGTGGCTCAAGTGGTAGAGCACCTGCTTTGCAAGCCAAAGCCCTGAGTTCAAACCCCAGTTCCACCCCCCCCACACACACAAAGAACCAGAATAGTACTCAGAAGCCCTCCTGGCACCCCTTCTTCCTCCTCCTCCCCTCTGCCCAAGCCTGGCTTGATTGTGCTTCTGTTGTGCTTTATTCTTTATTCTGGTGGGCACATCCATATTAGAATTGGGAAGAGGATCTCTTCTCCCCACCTAAAGTTACTCAGTTCAGTGATTACTCTTATTATTATTTTTTTTATTGTTTTATTATTCATGTGTGCATACAACGCTTGGGTCATTTCTCCCCCATGCCCCCACCCCCTCCCTCAGTGATTACTCTGAAGTGATCACATTTGCTTGCATATTTGTGTGTCCTACTTCATAGGAGACAGGTGTATTGCTGAGAGCCCATGGAGTCCCCTTCCTGTCTTCAGGATACCTGTGTCCCTAGTGCTGTCTCTCACTTTGGGCATGCCATTCATCTTCCACTCACAGGCTACTTTGCCTTGGCAGATGCAGCACAGAAAGAAGTTGAGTTCTGCATGTAGGACAATGTAAGATTAGCTCCCATGAGCAAATCCCAGTCACACCAGCTGCTGTGATTCCTGGCTCCTTAAACACAGAGCATGGCTTTTTTTTTTTTTTTTCTGAAGTAAAAGGATCCCAAATGCAAGAAGAGTCCAAGAGTATCATGTACTGTGTGATGTGAATTTTATTGTCAGAGCTTTTCTTGATTTTCCATGGAAATACTAAGATTTCTGGGACCACTTTCTGAAAGAGAGCTCTTCTGTTATGGCCATGGCAGGCAGATCTGAACCTGATGCCTGTACAGTGAATGCAGCAGTGTAAGGGAATGACCTTATCTCAGCAGCCAACAGGAAATGATGAAATGTGCTGGGAGAGTTCAGCCAGGAGACCGAGGTCAGACATACCAGCAGGGTCGGAAAGAGGCAGGTACTGAGGCAGAGTGGCAAAGTTAGGCAGCTGATGCCAGTGTTTGGCAGTGTTTGACAGAGAAACGTGAGTGTGCTTTTTAAGATAGACCTTTTAGAAAGCAGAATTTTCTTAGATTTTTTTTTCTGAGTGATTGATTTAAAGCAACCTCACCTTTGTGAGCAAACCCATCTAGTTTTAGAGCTCCTTGATAGAAATGTTCAGCTAGTTTGATATTAACCAGTGTGAAGTGTTTTGTGTGCATGTGTTGAGGAAGTGTCAGTGAGCATTTGATTTTCTTGATGAGTAGATTTTGACCTAAACAAATGAAAGCTTGTGCTTCATAATTTTTCACTCTGATTTTAGAGCACATGTGCATGCTTCCCTCAATGGAATTACTTTGAAACGTGGCGTTGGCATGTTTTGGACAAGGATGCCTACCTCTTGCTGAGCTTTCTTGCTGTTATCTGAGTTACTTTAACTGTCAATAGAGGGTTGTTTTCCCCTGCTTTAAGACATCATGCTGCTTTTCCTTTCTTAAAAGCCAAATCTCATCTATAGCCAGAAAAATGGGATTTGCAGAGAAACAAACAAATGAGCCTTCTGCCGGACTGTAATTGCTGTTTTTTCCCCTGACCCTAAGTTAAGTTGCTACCTGCTCCAGGTCCCCTCCCTATCCTCCTTCTGAGTCAGGTTTTTCTTATTTCTCTTCTCAGACCCTGTGCCCTTGTTCTTATCAGAGGGCTGTTACTAGAAACCATTCTTACTGGATATCAAAATGTAAGTTTTATTGTTTCAATAACTGAGTCTTATACACAGTTTAATTATTATCTGAAATGTCGTATACTGGAATTGAAAAGTTATGACTCTTTATTTTCATAGTACTGTTTCTCGTTAATCCTAACAAGAAGGTTTTTTTTTAAATCCTGATATTTAAGCGATCCATTACTAAGTGAATTATAATTATTGGATTACTTATTGCTGTGAACATTAACAAGGCAATGGCCTCGTGCTGTTCTCCAGAAAATGCTATGCTTGTGCAGTTTGTGCCTTATAGAGAAGCATGTTTTCTTGTTAGATGATTATCTACTGTTATTTGTGTAGGTCTAACACTTTTAGGATCACATAGGAAAGGTTTCTAGAAACCTCCAAAGTATATTTGTCATTTAGACTTAGTCAGTTCCTCCAGTTTTATCTTTGCTCTGGTAGCTCTGAATAGCTCTTTCTTCAAACCCCTTCCTTCCTGGCCATAAAATAGCTTCCTGAATTCTAGATGAACTTTAAATGCTGCATTTATGAAAATAATAAAGAGATTTCAAAATTTCAAACCAAAGCATGTCTCCCAGTCTGAGATTTATGCCAATAAGTAAAAAGAAGCCTCCTGGTCTTTGTTTTTCCTTTCTTTTTATATGGTGTCAGTTCTTTTACTCTTTTGCCCACCTCCATGTACAGTTACACATTTAGTGGCATAATTTATAAGGGTAGGACTTGATATTCAGAGGATATGGCCAGGCCCCTTCCTTTTAACAAAGAAACTGAAACTGAGAAGTGAAGTGACTGATCAAGGTCACACAGCTTGTAAGCTGAGAGAGTCTGGAATCTTAAGTCTCTTGCCTTCTAGGTCATTACCCTTTCCATGACAGTGATCTGCTTTCCCTATATTTTTATCTCAAGATTAGTAGCACTTGGCTAAGAGTGGCTTTTCTTCTGATGAGTCCATTTTAATGTGTTTAAAACATTCAATAATAATTTCCCGATGAGTACTGTTTGGCGTAGATGTGTAATCAGTGATGTATAATATAAAGTATAATGAAGTGCGTTAAAAATACAAAGAGCATTGACGTTCCTGCCTTTTAGACTTTTTCTCAAAAATAGTTCTCTATTATAGTTTTTCCTGCCTCTCCCCTAAGTTAGGTCCCAATCAAAGTGAGTCTCATTGTGTCATTATTTGTAGCTGAGAACACCAAACCTAATAAGATCACAGTAGAAAAAGAGACAGACAAGTATTCAGTTCTTCTTTGAAAGACGATTCTTAAGGATGTGAAGGAAAACCCCGAGCATTTTAGCTCCTATTTCTCAGTATTTCTTCATTTCAGTTCCTGAAAGGGAATACTGACAACTCTTAAGTCTTGAGTTGGACTGAACAGGTTTTCCAATATGAGGGACTTTAAAATAAGACATAATTTAAATAAAGAAGGAAATTATTTAATTTAGAGGAATAGAATTTACTCACAACTTTCTAGGATCTTTAAAAATTTCTCTGTTGGAGTGCTGGTGGTATATTGTAGCTCAAGTGGTAGAGCACCTACAAGTGCAAGATCCTGAGTTCAAACCACAGTACTGCCAAAAGTAAAAAGTAAGTAAGTAAGTAAATAAATAAATAAATAAAATCAGCATTTAAAAAAAAAATCTCTGCTGGACTGGGATGTTAGGTTGGTGTAGAGCAGTCCCTTAGCAGACCCAGGGGTCAATCTTTAGCACCAAACCTCCGCCCCCCCCCCCAACCTTCTCTAATCCAGATATAAACAGAGGTGGGCTGAGAACACTGGGTGACCACTGTTAGACCTCAGTGTGGATCCCTCCCTCTGTCCAAAGCTGCCCTTCAGTGTCCTGGGGAGGTTCATAGAATAGCACTTATTTTTACCTTCTCAAAGTATGTACAGTATATTTCTTGAATTTCTAAACAATATTAATATATGGGCATTTATGAAAACAAGCATCTCATGAGCATCTTAACTGCGCTTGAAAGTAAGTTTGGTGACTCTACACCTATCTTAATTTATAAACTGTGGAGTTGCTGCATGAGAACTGGTTTTATGCAGAGGGCAGAGCTGTGTGTTCACTCCTGGTGTCCTGTTGGGCACTTTTTGTCAGTGTCCTTGAAGAAGTTGTTGTTTCCAGGTCGTGAGCTGGATGGCTGTACCTGGTCCTAAAGAGAGAGCGAGGCTATGGGCCAGGAGCAGTGGCTCAGCTCACTTTCCCACGGGTTAGCTCTGTGGTCCCAGAGTGGCGTTTTACACTTACTGATGTGTTTTCAGTATGTATTTAGTATAGAATATTTCAACTGGCTTTTTTTCTCTAATGTAATTGATGTCTCCTCTGTTGCTCAGTATACTTTCTTCCCATCCCTAGCTTCTGCCCATATTAGTGCAAAGTCTCCTGTTCCTATGAGATTTAAAGATGTGAGGGGAGACAGGCTCCTATTGGGCTGGCTTCACTGTAGACAGATGAACAGCCCCAGGAACTGCTTTGGCTCAGAAGTCTCTGAGAATTTGTGCTGTTGGCATTTGGGCCCCCCTCACTGCTTCCAGCCCTGCTTGGGGCTCCTTGCCAGTCCAGGTTCTAGTGATGGTCTCAGAATGCCCTCTAGGATCTGAAGAAACTTCTCCCAGTATCCTAGGCTTTAGACCTAGATAAAGAGAAGTGTGCCTGTGTATGTGAGATAGTAACAGTGTAAAACAAAGGCCATTGCTTTGAATAAGTGAATGAATGAACAAACAAATTGCAGCATTCCCATTTCTGTAGACTGATTTCTTTTCAATGCTGGGAATTAAACCTAGGGCCTGGAGTGTGCTATGCAAGTGCAGTATCACTGAGTGACCCCAGACTGAGATTAATTTTGAAGGACTATAGTCATGTTTCACCTGGCTGATCTAAACACATTTGTATATCCCAGTTCTGTCTTGGTACCAACTGAGGTCTCCATGTGCCTTCCATGTCTCCTCCAGCCCTGGGAATCTGACATCTTTTTCTCATTTAGGTAGTCATACACAAATCTATGTGGACTCATGAAGTATATTGTTTTGTTTTGGGAAACTTAAAAAATCTAATGGGGGAGGGGAAGGGGAGGTGGCACAAACAATGTTTACACATGTAAGTAAATGTAAAAATGATAAACTAAAAGGATAAAGAAAAAAAAAACCTAATAGAAAGTATTCTGAATTTGAAATGTGAGGCAGGTGTCATGCTAGTACCGAATTTAAGTTTTCTTTTTGTTAACCTGAAGCTGGGATGTGAATTTCATACTCAGTCTTCTTTCCCATCAGAAATTATTCTACAGTGGATTCCTTCAAAAAGATTGGGAAAGAATAGTTTTGCTAGGAATGCCTACTTAACAAGATGGTATTGATGTAATTAACAGGCTGAAACCATTGAACTTTACAATTTGGAATTCTGTCTTTGAGACTAAGTTTGTAACAAAAATTGGTGAAAAAAATAGAGCCAGGCATAGTGTTTGTGCCTGTAATTCCAAGTACTCAAGAGGTGGAGAGCAGGAAGATTGAGGTTCGAGGTCAGCCCAGGCAAAAACTTATCGAGACGGATATGGTGGTGCATGCCTGTCTTCCCAGTTACATAGGAGGCATAGGCAAAAAAGTGGGCAAAAAAGTGAGACCCTGTCCGAGAAATAACCTAAAAGCAAAAAAGGCTGGAGTCATGATTTAAGGTCCTGAATTCAAATCCCAGTACTGCCAAAACAGAAGGAAGGAAGGAGGAAAAGAAATGAAGCATAGGGCAATTTGGAAATAGTGAAGTGTTTTTTTTCCTTTTCTGATTTGAGCTGATGCATAAACAAAGAACATGGTGGACTGACCGCCATACTGACTCACTTAGAAAGCAGAAACATTTGTTACTTTCCCACCTAGGAGGGCTCAGCTCAGGACCACTTGGGTCCAACCCTTCCTGTGCAAGAAGAATGTTGCCACAAGATTACAAGGCTGTGTAGGAAAGCAGCAGGTCCACTTTGAGAGAAATCTTTGTGGTTTTTTTTTTTTATGTGAAACTCTTAAGACATTAAATTTATTATTGGGCATACTCAGTAAACTGCTAAGGCCGTAGTTTGAATTTGAGGCAGCAGAGGTGCTGAAAAGCTGTGGTGTGAGGCTTAGGTAAATTGTAATTGTCCCAGCTCTCCCCTGCTTTCATTGATGGAAGTGCAGGCACCTGCGTGAGCTCTTTGCCTATTTCCAGCCATCCACTAGGTCATTACCTGGAGGGACAGTCCACTTGGATGTGACCGTTGTGTTGTACTAGGAGTTGAGTGGTGAACAAGACAAAATCCTGGTTTTTAAGGAACTCGTATTCTTGAGTGTGACAGAGATGATATAATTTGGCAGGTGGGACTGAGTGTTATTAACGAAACAAAGCAGGTCATGGCTCACATGTCAAAGGTATGGAAAGGGTAAGGAAAGCTTTCTTAAGAAGAAAAAGAGTGAGTGGATTGTCTGATGCTATGAGCAGCAGCAGATCCTAAACACTGAGGAGGTGTTCCTAGCACAGGAGAAGCAGTTGCCAAGGTAGGTTAAACCTGTTGCATTTGGAGAATGACAGAAGATCACCCTAGCCAGAGTCCAGGGTAGAGATCAGAAAGAGTCAGGATGCGTACCAGAGGCAGGGGCCAGGTCACACAGGCCGGGTGGGGAGTATGCATTGCTGACAGGCATACTTAGGAGTTTGGTGTTTTGAACAAGGTAGCTGAGGCTGAGATGGTAAGAGGTGGCCACATGCAGGCTGTTTTAAGATGAAGATAATGGAGTGGGTATGATGGAAAGAATCAGAGGTGATGCCTAGACATTTGCCCTAAACTGCTGTGTAGATGATCTGGGTGTTTTCTGCAAGGCAAAAAACAGTGAGAGGAGCTGGCCTAGGAGATGGTGGAGAGGTGGTCAGTGCATCGGAGAGGCTGACATGTCAGCTGCCCAAGAAGAGGTGCTGAGTCAGTGGCTGAGGCTATGCAGTGAGAGCTCAGAGAGTAGTCAGGTCACCAGGCCTCAGCATGGGAC